TCATCACCATGATCTCCACTGACACCATGGTGGGGACAGGGATGAGAGTTCCAGCTCTGTATTTGGTCTTCTCTGACACTACCCTGCTGTAATGAGATTGGAGCACCTCATTACAGCCTCGAAAGGATGGAATTCTAGGCTCTTCACTCAGTCTTTGCTGGTGGGGGTGGGAGTGGATCCACAGTTTTTCCTGTGGTGTTTGGCTGGAGTAGAGCAGTTATTGTGTACAAGTTTTTTCTCTTGCTAGGGTGCCCTTTCCAGATCCTGTGACTAGAGAGAAGGCTTTTGTTGGGGCTTTAAACAATCTGTACCCATTGCCATTTCCAGGTTGCCAGGTTGTTCAGCTCCAAGTCTAGACTACATAAGGCAAAAGGAAAACCCAAGGGACTCACCACTATGTCATTCCTCTAGCCCCCAGGTCCCTGGCCAGCCTTTCTTCTCTACATTTTTCAAAGTCTTCTTGTATTTCTTGTATTTCTTTCAAACATAATGTCTAGGGGTTTAAGTTGTACTGAGCAAGAGGAACAGAGAGAAGTACTTCTACTCCATCTCTTTGGAAGCAGAAGTCCACGTTGGCATTAAGGATTTAACTTTTTGCACATCAAACTGTACATTACTCAGTTTTTATTTTTGTGCTCTTACCCCTAACACTGTGAAGATAATATCCCATTGCCTTCTGACCTTTATGGTTAAGAAACCTAGTTTCTTTATAGGGAATTTTTAGTTTCTTGCTAATTGCTTTTACAGTCTTTGTGTTTGTCCTCCAGTTTCATTGTGATGATGTGTTTAAGTGGGGATTTATTCATATTTTTTCACAGTTCATAGTTATTTTTGATTCTTATGATTCCTTCCATTTTAATTCTGTGAAATTTCTCAGCAATTATTTATTTCAATGTTGACTCTCTACCTCATTCTCTGTTTTTTCATCCCAAAATACCTATTAGACCTATGTTGGACCCTTTCTTTTAATCTTCGATATTTCTTAAGCTCTCATATTTTCTCTCTCTCCAACTCACTCTTCAGCCCCTGGGCTATTTTCTCCAGTCTCTATTCCAGTTCTCTGATTTTTCTCTGCTGTTTTGCTCTTTAAGCCATCAACTATTTAATTTTAATGACCGCAATTTTTGTTTCTAGAAATCAACCTATTCTTATATATCACCTTATTCTTATGAATTCAGTTCTTTTTTGTGATATTAATCATTGTGGGTATACCTTATCAGGTCCTTTTTTTTTTTTAAGATTTTATTGGGGAATTGGGGGGAGGGGAACAGCGTTGGGGAATCGGGGAATGGGAACAGACAGGTAGACAAATCGCTGTTTTGTTCTTCAGTCGAGTTGTGGAGGACTTTGCTTCACTGGCCCATTTTGGTATGATCATTGTGCTCTTCCCGGGTGAGGCAATCGGTCGCTGGTCATTGGTCGGCCGCTCGTAGCAGCTCCTGTCAGCTCACACTGGCTGCTGGCCGCTAGCGCTGGCTGCCAGCCACTCACGTAGCTCACGGCAGCCCACTGCAGCCCTGCTGCAGTCTGCGCCGTTGCCGGAAACTCACAGTAGCCCAGCTCCAGGTCAAGCTGTTGTTCACCATCTTAGCTGTAGAGGGTGAGCGTCACTGGCCCTCAATGTGGGATCCAAACCGCAGCCCTGCTGCTCAGAGCTGGTGCTCCCAAGCGAGCTCTTAACCAGCTGAGCCACTCGGCCGGCTCTTTCTTTTTTTTTTTTAATCAAATTCTTCAAAGTATGATCTGTCTGCCGGTTGCTGACTCATTGTGCTGGCTCATGTCCTTGAGTGTCTTGTAATTTGGGGCTGTGAGCTCGCTCATCTGCACAGGAGCTGCATGTGGGAATACTGTGCCTGTGGGGTTGAGGGTGTGTCCTTCCAGACTGATGCACATTGGCTTCTTCCAGGCATCCCTGTGATATCACTTTCTAGAGCCATTTTTATTGTTAATTTCTTGACTTGGAGTCTTATTGTCCATGTGGCTATTTAAATTTGAATTTCACACCCATCTGTGGTACCAGCTTATGATTAATCTTCACAGGGGAATGTTTTTCCCGTTTTGTTGAGAGGCCAGGCAGAGTTAGAGAAGGCTCCTTGTCTACCTGAGCTAGCAAGTGGATTTTTTTCCATAGCCTTGCCTCTCACTTCAGGGCTGGCTCTGCAGAGAACTCAGATTCAGCTCTCTGCTTGAAACTTCACGTGGGTATAAGCTTTTGTACCCTGTTCCACATGGCGATTAAAACTCAATACTGAAAGCCTCCCATCTGGGCCCCCCTACTGCTTTTCCCCCCCATTTCTTCTCTGTTCTAAGTATCTAGAGATTTTCTTTCCTAAAAACTCAGCTATGCATTTTTTTTAATGTGGTATATTTTTATCCAGTATATCTAGGTGTTTGAACCAAAAGGGTTTTCAAATAAAAGGGTTTTCTATTTAAGTATGAATTCTTACCTGTTGGAGTTCTAAGATTCAGAATATGAAGAGTTTGTTGGAGGAATTTAATACTTTTACATGTGTAAGTTACACATCTTACTTGTCTTTGTCCGGCAAGGAGCAGTTCAGTTAGCATGTTACCTTTTTGCCTGTTGAAGCCATGGTGCAAACTGGATGGCAATCACCATAACAGTGTCCGTTTAAACAAGGCTTCCAGAGCAGAAAATAGTGATGCAACAAGCATCCAGCCAAAGTCTATGCTTAGACATGTGAGTTTAAGTTCCAGGGTTACATGGATTTGTTAGATTCATTTTTCTGTGTACATATATGAAACATATGAATTTGTATATACAAAATCTTTTCTCTCTCAAGACTTACATATTGACAGCCTCTTTACCTGGTTCTCACCTTCTCTTTACAACTTATACCATGTATTGGGTTTTATTTCTTAAATAGAAGAGGATACTGGACAAGTTTGAGAAATTCCAGTATTTTCATTCTTACCTGGCAATCTGAACCATATTCCCTTTGATTTCTCGGGTTGTAAAGCTGTTCAATGAAAGTGATTAGACTCAGCATGTTTTCTTTTTGGTGGGTGTAGTAATATATATAAAATGTAAGATTTTGTCATCTTAACCAATTTTCAATCTGTAGTTCAGTGGCATTGAGCACATTCACAGTATTGTACAACCATCCCTACCACCATCCCCACCACCATCGCCAGGACTTGTTCATCTTCCCAAACTGACACTCATATCCCATCAACTCTACGAGTTTGATGACTCCAGGTACCTCATACAAGGGCATCCTACAATATTTATACTTTTGTGACTGGCTTATTTTATTTAGCGTAATGTCCTCAAGGCTCATCCATTTGGTAGCCTATGTCAGACTGTCCTTCCTTTTTAAGGCTGAATAATATTCCATTGTGTATAGACCACATTTTGTTTGTCTGTTTATCTGCCGATAGACACTTGGGCTGCTTCCATCTTTTGGCTACTGTGAATAATGCTGCTACGAGCATGAATGTGGCATGCTTTTAAAATATGCAGTGAGAAGCATAAAACTGCTAGTATTTTTAAATGCTAACAATTCTAATAGCACTATTCTATAAGTTTAATTGCCTGTAACCATTTGGAAATCATTAGGGGTTGAATAATATTTCAGTGATGGTGAATGTAGTTCTTAAGAAACAAGGGTGGAGCAAGCATCAGCAAAGAGCTAGACTATTTGGGCTTAACTGGAGGGGAGAACAGCAGGGCCTAGAGAGTGCTCGGTCTGGGTCTGGGAGAGGAGCATGGCACAGCCAGCAAGGGACTCGGGATCACAGCACAGGGACTCCAGCCACAGAATGAGTCCGGCACGTGGGGGTTAGCTGTGGTGGGCCGGGCTCAAGGGTGGGAGAGGGGGGTCAATGCACTGCAGCTCCTAAGCTGAGCGGAAGTCAAGTTTGGCTAAACAGAAAACACAAAATGAATCAGCAAGGCAGTATGGGGTCGTCAAAGATACATCATGTTAATTAACAGATTCCATTCTGGAAATCTTTGATTTCCATTTTATGGAAAATAATATACCAAATCAAATGTATTAATTACTTGGTAGAAGAAATGAAGAGCTCTCTCTACACTGAATGAAACAAATTTCACACCTGGAATACTGACCCAAACGTGGCTTAAGCCGTTCTTGCCACAAGTTACAGGTGGAGATTAAAAGCAAGACCACAAAAATCTTCAAATGGGGAAACTTACACCTCTTTAAAAAAAAGAAGACAGTGGGGGCCGGCCAAGTGGCTCAGTTGGTTAAGAGCATGAGCTCTGAGCAACAGGGTCACCAGTTTGATTCTCACATGGACCAGTGAGCTGCACCCAAACTGAGCTGCCAACTGTTGTCAGGAGACCTCAGCTGGTGAGAGCACGTGCGCCTAACACCAAGGTTGCCAGTTTGACTCCACATGGGATGGTGGGCTGTGCCCACCCACAACTAAGATTGAGCATGGCACCTTGAGCTGAGTGGCCGTGAGCTGCCCACAGGTGACTCGATGGCAACTGGACTTGAAGCTGAGCTAGCTGCACCCTCCACAACTAAAATTGAAGGACAACAACTTGGCTGTTGCCCTTCCCCAATTCCCCAACACTGTTCCCCTTCCTCAATTCCCCAATAAAATCTTAAAAAAGAAGGTGGCGGTGGACTTCTTAAAGCCTGTAAGTCTAGACTGTACAGAAAACACTTGAAATTTCTGAACTGTTTTTGCTTATTTCTGCATATTCATATTTCTTTGAATAGTGGCTAGCAAAGGGACAATTTTTATTTATTACAAGAGTAGTTTTCAAACTTCCAACAACAAAGGAAATTGTCCCAAGAGCATGGTTTTAAAAAAACCACTAAATTAGCAAGTAGGCCAAATATCCAGAGGGTGAAAAGGTAAGTCAATATGTTGTTTTACAAAGTGTTGTTTCCTTTTTTCTGTTATTAACAACTAAGATTTCATGAAATCTTATGATCATAGTCTAAGAATAGATGTATATTGCTCCTGTTTTCAAGTTGTTTTCATAGTCTCTCTTTGTCTTTCAGATTTTTTGTTTAAGTTCCTGGTTATTGGAAATGCAGGCACTGGCAAGTCTTGCTTACTCCATCAGTTTATTGAAAAAAAATGTAAGTGGCACCAAACGGTCACTGTGTCATGTGTTTCTCTATCAAAGGCTGCTGTCTTGCTCAGCTTTGTATAGAGCAAAACTTCTGAGTATTTTTCAGGAAAAAAGTCATAGTTTAAAAATATTTGAAAATAACATTAAAAATTTGTTATTAAACTTTTAGTAACGTGACTGAGTGTCTATTAAGTTAGCATTTCAGTGTTACAGTGGCTTATTGTTCAGTATATATTTAAGTGGATTGCATATTTTCCAGGTACTAAAACACAGTATGATGGTGTGGAGACAGCACAGGGTGTGGCCCCAAAAGCACCAGTAATATGTTTTGGATAAACTAATAGCATTTGGTCCTAGTGGCCTTGTATTATAGTTAAAGCAGTTACTGTCATCAATTCTATTTTACAGGTAAAGGAACAGGTGTAGAGAATTTGGTGTGTGTTTTTGGGATGGTCACCAAGTAATTGGTTAGGCTCGCGCCCAGGCTTTTGGACCACAGAACCCATTTTTTTGCCATTGACTTGCACTGTTTTGGTAAGGGAGGTTGAATGTTTTATTCCAACCTGTTGTAAAAGGCTGTAGGTTTGCAAGGCCCTTTAAACAGTGCTTTTGATGTAAACAATTATGGACAATGACCTGTCTATTTAGTGGCAGTCAGGTAAAGGCACAAAAACTGTCGTACCCCCCACCCCACCCCCACCCCCAGGAAACAGTAAATACAATGTCATGTGGCGTCCCTGATTTCTGGTACAATTAAATTTTGTCACGCAGTTATAAATATAAACTGGTCCATGGACTGTAGAGCCGTGATGTTTTTTAGCTTATCCTTTCATCATCCCAGAAATGTTCTCTCATAGACAGCTTATTGCAGGTGCGTTTAGCAAAGTACTTTGCCTGCCTCCCTGCCCATTCAAACAGTGTTGATTTCTATAACAAATCCATTCCACATTATTGCCACATAGTACTAACATTAATGAAAACTTGGCAGCTATTATTATATGCTCAGTTTTGTTTTGGAGGTTTGCTTGTTTTGTTTAGTTTACTCTCTTTTCCTCTTTTCCCTTTCATCTTTGATGTCCATCACGTTTCTTTTTTTGAGCTTTTCCTTCCCTTTTCTTTTATTTCTTTAGAATATCTATCCACTGAAATAGTTGAAACTGTCCCTACGTCATTACTGACCGAGTTGCAGAGCAGTCACTGGGCAGAGAGCCCTCCAGGATGGTGCTGGGTACTTTCTGCAGTCTTTGTTTGTGGGTGCCTTGACCATGGACGGTGGACAAGGCTCTCATAGCATGGCCACCTCCATGCTTAGGCTTTGAAATGTCTGGTTTGTATTAGGAGTTTTGAGAAAAAGCTCTATTGTGTCTCTGAGGATAGGGACTGTGTGTGTTCTGTCTAGAACGGGAGTACTCCTGGCTGCTGGACAAACGAACACTAAAGAAGGACCATGGCTGTTGACTCAGTGCTTGAGCTTCGTGTCGCTTGTTCAAATCTGTAGCCAGTTTCCTTCATGGTCTAAAATTAAATGTCTTGTTCTTTTTCTTTTTCAGTCAAAGATGACTCAAATCATACAATAGGAGTGGAATTTGGTTCCAAGATAATAAATGTTGGTGGTAAATATGTGAAGTTACAGATATGGGACACAGCAGGCCAAGAACGATTCAGGTAGCTTTTCTCTAACTTAATAAAAACCTTGGAAAATTGGATTTGAAATAATCAATTATATTCTCTTAATATATATAGCCCCCCACCCCCTCTCACAGATTCTAGAAACTCCGCCTCTGGAAGATTTAAGACAAGTTACAAGTCCGTTTCTGTCCGTGCAGCACCCATTTACTAACAACGGCCCTGAAGTCTGCATTGAGCAGTGTGTCCTGATTAGAGGCTGAGTTATTCGTGGAGCTAGTGAGCACGTCAGGAGGACGTGGCATGGTGCGTTCTGTGTGCTCTTGCATCCAGGGCCAAGCGATGACACAAACAAATTCTCTCTATATTTTACTTTTAAAAAATAATTTTTAAGGGGTTTTGTGTTGTTTTACATGAACTAGAATACATTCCACAAAACATTCTCTCCTCCACACTTTGATTACAAAACAGTCATAATTGATGCTTGAATGGTGACCCCCTGTCACTGCGAAAGAGGTCACATGTTCATATTCTGTAACTAACACAAAGGTGGATTAATATTTTAGTTACACTTTTTGAACATATACACAAAGTCAAAAACAAAACAGATACTCAGTTACAAAATTCAGCTAAATAAAATTCACTCCGCACCTCCACCCCCGGAAGCATTTCGCTTAATTAAAGTCAGGTATATAGTATGTTTTAAATGCTCAGTAATTGTTTGCTTCAAAAACACTATAACCATTTTTAGTCACCATCATTCTTCTAAAAGCACTGATTAAACATGGTGGGTTCAATTCACATTTTTATGTCTTCTGACTCCCAAAACCCCACTGAAATTACTGTAAAATAACTGAAATAGTATTAACTTTAAAAAAAAAGGGAAAGGGCTTAATTGTGATTAAGAGATTTCAAAAAAAAAAATGTTAAAGACAGGAGTGGACGGATGACACAGTGACTGACTTAAAGCAGAGGGAGCTACATCTCATGTGCTTGTAACGGGAAGGCCAATGAGCAGGAAACCGTTTCTTGCTGCCCAGTCCCAGGAAAGGTCACGGATTGGAGGCGTCAGGCTCCTCAGGAGGCGGAGCCAGTGCTCATAGTGTGCTTCATAGTGCGCATGCGCACGGGCTCCAGGCCCACAGGGCATGGACCAGGTGAGGACTGAGAGGGAAACTTGAGTGAAGGTTTGGAAGTCCGAACCCCATTTCCACACCTCTCCCAAATCGTTGGCGGACAGGTGTGTGCGTCTCATGGGTGTGTGCATCTCAGGTGTGTATGCCTCACGGGTATGTGCGTCTGACAGGTGTGTGCGTCTCCTGGGTGTGTGTCTCACAGGTGTGTATATGTCAGGAAGGAGGAGCGACCTTTCTCCACAGGAAGTAGCCCTGAAAGAAAGGCCTGACGGTATTGACGTTTGGGTTTCCTCTGTGAAACAGCCCAACCTCTGACCAGCCATCTTACAGGGAGGCCTCCCGCCCACACATAAAGAGCTTCTTTTAGGAGACTTGTTTATGAGTATTCCTCGCTCTTGAGTATGAGTATTCCTTGCAAGGACCACCAGGCATTTGAAGAACATTTCTGAAATAAAAGAGCCCAAAATGAAATAGGAATGTTCCAGGAATAGGCAAAAACTCCAAGACTACAGTCTCCTCAGAAATAAGAGCAAAGATTGTATTCAAGTAATAAGAACAAAATTATATTTTAAAAAGAGTAGTCAAAATAATATGTTAAATAGAGTAGTGATCTTCCAGAAAGTTAAGCAAGAAATTTGAGATGCAAAGAGAAGAGACAACATAAAGAACCATATAGAATTTATCCAGGAGTCTGATGCATGTCTACTAGAAGAGCAGAAGAAAAGACCAACAGAAACTTTCCACTGACGCCAAGGACAAATAAGTGAGCGGCGAAGGACCCAGCCAGGGCATGTCATGGGAAATTTCAGAGCACAGAGATGAAGTGAAAATACAGAAAGACTCCAAGAGGGAAAACAGCCACATACAAAGAGTGATAAATGGGAATTGTGCTGGACCGTTCCACAGGAGTGTTTGGGAGCTAGAAGATACTGACATGTTGCCTTCAAAACTCAGCATGACAAATTCTGTCCCAACCTAAAATTCTAAACCTAACCAAGCTATCAGTTTTGTGAGAGTAAGATCAGAATACCTTCAGATATGCAAAAAGGGGGATTATCTTCCGCATATTCTTTCTTAGAAACTTCAGGAGTTGGCCAAGTACTTTACCAACACAAAGGAGGAAACTCAGAAAGAGGAAGATGAGGGCCAGCTGACAGGACCCCTCCTGGGAGAGCAACAGGAAGTGTCACATGGTGTCACCTGCTAGGCAGTGTTCAGAGTAGGAGAGTGGGCTGGAGGGGGAGTTAGCTGAAGACCCCCTATCAAAGCAGGAAGGCAATAAGCTCTAAAATTAATAATTCAAACAATTTCCTGAGCATCTTATAGAAATATGGAAGCAAAACCAGAAGTATGAAACTAAGATTCATCAAAGTAAGGGTTTTTCTGTATTGTTTGTTTCTCCAGAGCCCAGGGTATTGTCTAGCACACAGGTGCTCAACAGGTACTCTCTTAAGGAGCGTACACACCTGGGGGGCAGGGTTCACAGGTAGGAGTGGGGCAGCAGACACTGCTGGTGCATTTCCAGCCTTTTAGCAATATTGTACTTTAAAACTGGGTGCATGTATTTGGTTTAAATGACTTGAAAAAAATTTGATACCTTAAAAAAGTATGCTTAAATTTGTATGCTTGAATGTTTATTTAAGAAGCCATGTGTCAAATAGAGTGTAAAATAAATTAAGAAATAGATGTTAATGTGTTTTATCTTGAGAACTCTCAGATACCACTTTCTCTAGAAACTACATACCTGCTGGAGCTAAAACAGAATATTGCCTCTTAATGTATGTGGAAGAGGCCATTTGGCGAAACCTAACAGCCGGTTCCTGCCTGCCATTTGTCAGAGCGACCCAGAGCATCTAAGACCTGTCTTTGGAGTTTGAGATTTACTAAAAAGTAAATTTAAAAGTAGCTGCCCTTTGGCCAGCTGAATGACTCCTTGGTTAAGAGTTGGCTTGGGAGCGTGAGCTCTGAGCAGCAGGGCCCCGGGCTCGGATACCACATGGGCCGGTGACACTGCCCTCTACAGCTAAGATGGTGAACAACAGATCGACCTGGAGCTGGGCAGGGCATAGGCTGCAGTGGGGCTGCAGTGGGCTGCCGTAAGCTACCGTGGGTGGCCGGCAGCCAGCATGAGCAGCTGGCAGCCACTGTGAGCAGCCGTCCAATGGCCGGTAACCTATCTGCCTCAGCCGTGAAGAACGCAATGATCACAATACCAACATGGGCCAGTGAAGTGACATCCTCCACAGCTAGACTGAAGAACAAAAGGACAGCAACTTGTCTGTTCCCCTTCCTCAATTCCCCAATGCTGTTCCCTCCCCCAATTACCCAATAAAATCTTAAAAAAAAGAAAAAAAAGTAGCAGCCCTTTTCATAATATTAATCATGAGCGATTCTGTTTGTGTTTTGTAAATTCCACTATTTTCTCCCCACAGGGAGGCGCTGTTCATTTCTGTGGTGCCTGCTTTCCAACACCAACCTAGTGGGGGATTTTTCCATGTCACATCCCCAATTCTTCAATACCTCTGTGTCCAACAATTTAATTCAGTCTGACACTACCTGGAGTTAGCACAGACCCCACAGACGAAGGCACAAGACTGCCCCCATGTTAGATCCCAGTCTCAAGTGTGGTGCCCAGCAAACCACAAAATCAAGGCTTTCTATGACCCATCCACCAGGCTCAATAACTCATTGGAACGACTCACAGGTTAGGAAAGCTCTGTATTCACTGTTACCCGTGTTGTTATAAAGGATGCACTCCAGGAACAGCCAAAGGGAAGAGGTGCATGACAAGGCGTGTGGCTGGGGCATCTTCCCAGCACCTCCGTATGCTCCCCAACAGTCGGGGCAGTTCCAGTGGCCTTTCAGTACAGAGGCACGATTGATTAAACTGCCAGCCCCATGGCGGACCCCATCTCCAGCCCCTGAGCACAGCGGGCCCTGGAGGCGGAGTCCGGCTGCTCTGGAAAATGGACTGAGGGACACAAGTGGCAGCAGGGACATGATGGCATTGGGGACAGCAGCCTTAGGCACCTAGAGGGCCCAGCAGAGACTCGGTGGTTTGGTTAGGACAGTGCATAGTGTAGGTTGTGTGAGACGGGCCTGCCATGGTGCAGCGTGGAGCTGGCACAGAAAGGTGTGGACGACAGACTCCTGGCAGTGTACCAGGATGGACCTGGAGGGTGGGGACCAGAGTTGTATAAAGGTTAAGTGTGAGTGTCGTTAGGCGTCACGTGGAGAAGCTGGGGCGATAACTGGATCGTGTAGAAGTCGTCTGAGGTGAAGATAGAATTTGGGTCAAGAACGTTAATAGAAGAGAACAGGACCAGCCCTGGGGATTGCGGTGCACCCAGGGCAGGCGGGGAAGACAGTGACCCGGAGTTGGAGGAGACCAAGCGCTGATGAGAGGGCGCAGAAGCAGGACTCGGAGGGCACAGGAAGTGCCCTAGGTCCAGCTGAGAACGTGGCGTGACCTGGACAGGCTGCTGCGGTGGAGCGTGGGCGTGAGCGCGGACTGGAGGTGGAGAGGAGGCGGCTGGCGGGAGTCCACCTGCGGGGGTGGCATCTCCTGTCACCTATGATCTGAGCTGTCAGAGCAGGTTTTATATGCTTGCGGAAAACCTAATATGACGGGAGGCCTGTGATGCCGTAGCGATGTATTCCCAGGAGAGGAATTCCCAGACGTGAGACGGACCAAGCGGCGCCCTGTGCGTGCAGTTCCTTGTCGGCGGGCGACTGGGCTGCATGGTCCTGCGTTCATGGTTCCGTCCCAGGACCGCCCCTTGCCCGGAAAGAAGTGAGGTCCGCCGCGCAGGGGGAAGGAGCCATCGGGATCCCACAAGAGGCAGAGAGGGGCTACGGAGCGCTTGGTGCCACCCAGGCTTTGGGATGCCCTTCCTGCCTCTGAGCTCTCACCCTTGTCCGTTCCCAGAGGTCCCGAAGGTTCTATGGAGAGCTTCATCCACCTTTCAGGGAATCCACTTGTCCCAGCCCAGTGCACCCACCCCTCGTTTCTTCTGTGACATGGTTTCCTCATGCATACATGTAGAGATGTCTTGGAATCATTTCTTTTAAAGCAACATCTGTCCCTGTGTTGTGGTTGGCAAAGCAGAAATGCGCCTTTTATACGGGGAGGTGGACAAGGGTAGCAATGAGTTGAAAGTAAAAGCCTGTAACTCTTTCAGGTCTGTGACGAGAAGTTACTACAGAGGCGCAGCAGGGGCCCTCCTTGTCTATGACATCACCAGGTAATGCGGTCTCCCCACCCACCACCCCTTGCCACGCACAGCCCGAATTCCTGGCTGGCTGACAGTTCCTGTGTGTAGTGTGTCCGGCGGGCAGCATGGCTGGGCCTCAGGAAGCCCCTCAGCCCTTCCATTTGGGTCTTAGAGGCTTTGAGCCAGCCCTTGCCATGACTAGCATGTAAAGAAATGTGTTTGTCAGGGTTTCTATAGATAAGCAGCCTCATTACCTTCTTAACAGGATGCCATGACATTTTCCTTAAGTTCACAGAGCCAAGCTCCATGGGTGGTAAGCTACCAGAAAGAGCTGACATGGATTGAGCCTGAGGGCACCTGCTGGGCTTAGATGGCCTGGCCTCAGGTCCCAGTCCCTGGTGAACAGCGGTGTGACGTGCTCAGCACAGTTTCCTTGTCTGTGTGGGGGTGATGATGACAGCATGACACTCATGAGGTTCCTGGGCGGTTAAACTGCTAAAGCTCTTGGCATGTCATGAGGATCTAAGTGTACACTGTCCTCCGTGTAGCCCTCACCCACACATGGCAATTAAGTTATGTTAAAAGTTCAGTTCTTTGGGCTCACGCACCCATTTCAAGTGCTCAGAAGCCACTTGCGGCTGGTGGCTGCTGTGCTGGACAGTGGGATTCTGGGACTTGTCTGTCCTCACAGAGACCCCATCAGACAGTGTTGGCCTCTGTTGGCAGCACCGCCTTACAAACCTGTCATCTAAGGTGTGTCCTCTGTGGCTCCTAGGTAAGAATGTCCCAAGAGAGGCTGTCGTCTGCTACTGTGACACACACCCCATCTGTGTTGCAACAAGGTGCCCGGGGACAGTGCTGGGCACCCTGGCCTGGCCCTTCTGTACCTGCCAGGCAGCGAAAGGCTGAGCTTGCCAAAGTGTGAAGCCGTGTGCCAGGCAGGAGAGGGGTTGTCCTTAGGTATATGAGGATTGAGACTGGGTCAGGTCCTGCTCTGCCACCGGCTGCTGTGTGACTCTGGGCAATGTCAATTATCTGTCTGGGCCTAAGGTTTCTCATGGAAAAGGGGGATAATAACAGAGTCCATGTCACAGTCCTTATACAGAGTCAGTGTGAAGAGTTCCTGGGAAACAAAGTGCCAGCTTGTTACGCAGACTCGTACAAGGGTGTACCAGTTAGCAGTTAGATCTTGCTTACCAGCGTGTCTCACGTACTAAGAGCTTAATAAATACTTGCAGAATGAAGGAACTTCTGTTTCCTTTGGCATCCTCATGGGGAAGACAAAAAAACAACAGAACACCTTACTTGCTGCCTCATTTTCCTGGAAACTAAACAAAGCAAACCCTGTGGGTGTGGGGTGTACTGGGGTGTGCAGGTTACCCGAGTTACCTGAAAGGTGCTGGCATGACCTTGACGTGTGGAAGGTGGTGTGAATAGGTGTGAATGACCAGAAAGAGTTGCCGGTTTTATAAAATACATGTATCGTTTTCACAATCTTCTGTCACGCAGCCGAGAAACCTACAATGCGCTTACTAATTGGTTAACAGATGCCCGGATGCTAGCCAGCCAGAGCATCGTCATTGTCCTGTGTGGGAACAAGAGGGACCTGGATGCGGACCGGGAAGTCACCTTCTTAGAAGCCTCCAGATTTGCACAAGAAAATGGCAAGTGACCTTTTACCTATTACTGCTTTTCAGTGGCAGATTTGGAGTTAATGACACAGCTTTCAGTTTAAAACAGCTACCAGAGTTTTAAAATTAAGCTATATTTAGGAAACATAGAACATTCCAATTGTTTACTATAAATTGAGACTTATTTAGCATATTTTCACAATATTGAATTCTGCCTGCGAAAGTTACTATAATGATAAAAGCAGGCTAGGGTTTTTTAATATTACAGGTCTTGGTTTAAGGTGAAATTGATAATTTTTAAAGGCTCTAATCGGATGACATCATCTTTTTTATGTAATTTGAAGCTATGTAGATCTGAAAAATATTAGTCTACATAGGAAGAGAAGTAGTAGAAGAAATATCAGGCTTAGTGGCTTTATCTTACCTACATTAAAGTCATCTGGTCATAGATGCCATTGAAACTTCTCTGAATGTCCATATAGAATACATGAGATGGGCATGAAAATTTAATGGTTGCTTATAGATAGATAACAGAATGATTGGAATTCAGACATTTTAAATAACTTTAATTTTTAGAACCAATCAAGAACTAAAATATCTATCCTAATACAGATTTTCAGTTGGACTCTAGAACCACTAAATTATATTCTTACAAATTGACTGGCTTCCCGCTAAGAAAATGAACATGTGAGAAAAACATAAGTCATCAGGTGTTTATAAATAAGCTACTTTGAAACACAGAAGCTTAGGATATTAAAGCTCAAACGGAATCAGATGTCATTTAATTCACCTCCCTTTTACAAGTAAGCTTGTGCTTTGCCCCTGAGGCCCAGGACAGCCCATCTTCCTGCTGGTAGTGGTCAGAATGACAGGCTGCAGTATAGTCCCCCCAAAATGGGAATACTTGCAGGTTGTATATGGGGGTACAGAAAGCTTATTGGGTGATGGAAGTCGCTGCTTCATCTGATATTGATGGCTGTTCATTTCCGCCAGCCTGCGTCCTCACCAAGCATTGGTGTTTGCTTTGTCTCTTCACAGGTTAAGTGCTAGCACAGGATCCTAATACTTGCCAGAAAAGGTTAGAATGCTTGTCACATTAAAAATATAGATTGACATTCATTGGTCTGATATTTACAGAAGTACATTGTTTTAAGTAACAAATTCCACTTGGCCTGCTACTCTGGGAGGTGCTGTTAGTCACTGAGTCATTTTGATGGTCTCGTAAACATGGCTTCACGCTTTGTTGCTGTCGTTTCAGAGCTGATGTTCCTAGAAACAAGTGCTCTGACGGGAGAAAATGTGGAAGAGGCCTTTGTGCAGTGTGCCAGAAAAATACTCAACAAAATTGAATCAGGTAAAAAAGCCTCCCTGAACAGCCTTCCTCAGTATAGTTCAGTCTGCTCAGTAGTGTCACATCAGTGTTTCCAGGAGTGACTTGGTCAGAGAGTGCTCTGTGTATACCCGCCAACCTAAAAGTGCCACTGCAGGTTTGGCAGTCTCATCCATGTGCCAACGGGGAAGCCCAGCCTTCTCACAGTCGCGTCCAGGGTCCCACTGACGAGGGTGGGCAGTCATGGCGTCCTGTCGTGTTTGCTTTCAGAGCCCTGGCCTTTTCTGGATTTAGCCCATAAGGAAGGAGGAAGGGACCTGTGTCCACTTCCTCATCCACTCACTGACTCTGCTGGGCCAGGTTGTGTGGGGCAGGGGGTCGGTTGTGGTGTTGGGGGCCAGGTGGTGTGGGGGTACGGGGACTATGTTGGTGGTTGCAGACGGGATACCATGGAGAATTTGTGTCAGAAGCTAACTAAGCATCCCTTAGTAATGATCTGCCCCATTATTGTTGAAGTTGTTGCTTCAGTAGAAATAAATTTAAAATAAGCCTAATTTAGGCAACTGACAAAATACTTATAGTTGCCATATATTAAAGTTGATTTTTATTTCAATATTACCAAATTATGTGCAGACATTCACCCTCTAATTGACTTATTCAAATATCTGAATTCCCCCTCTTGGTCAGATGCTGGGTACAAAAGCGAATGAGCCACAGTCCTTGCCCCCACGGGACCCTCGTGGGAGCTGTCTGATGAGAGACAGTCAAAGTTAATTATAACACAGGGCGGTCAATGCCATAATTGAGACTTACACAGGATTTGGGGTCACACAGAGAAGGGGAGCTCCCCAGCTAGAGCGTGCAGGTGGTGGCAGGTGAGGCTTTCAGGAGGAGGTGCTGACTCGAAACAGGAAGCAGGGCATGAGGAGGGTGAGGGCGGCAGGGGCCGTGGGGTGGAGGTCACTGGAACAGGAAGCCAGGGCATGGCAGGAGAGAAGGTGCAGAGGCAGCGGCCCGGCCAGTGGTCATCCTCAGGGATCTGGGATTTATCTTGTGAGTTACTGAGTCTCAGCCCTGGCGTACCTAGAGTCACCAGGGATGCATACAAATTAGAATCCCAGGCCCCACCTCTGGAGATGCTGGATTGATTGGGCTGAGGATTGGTCACCCAGGGACCAGCATTTCTCAAACTCGGTCAGTGATTCATTCTAAGGTTCATCCATCCACAAGTGAGAGCCACTGCTGTGAGGGTGGGAAGCAGTGAGTGGTGTGGTCAGGTTGTGACTGGAGACAAATCGTGTATGTAGGCAGCGTGTCCAGTACAGGTTGAGGCTGGGATACCAAGTAGGCATTTTTAAGATATCTGAGTAAAAGACGACTAACTAAAGCTTTAACAATGAAGAGATTTAGGTTGAACTGAGGCATATTGTGGCAGGAGGAGGAGCCAAGAATGACTAATGTCACCTTTGGGTGACTTGGTAAAGAGATGCCATTAAGCCAGAGGATAAGCTGGTTCATGGGACTCAAGATGACTCTGTTTGAGGTGTGTCCCCTTCGCAGCAGCACGTGGTGTTATCCAGTAAGGCCTGCGGACAATTCTGGGAGCCATCAACTTAGAGAGCAGTTGAAACTGTAGAAGGAATGTGATCAGAGAGCAGCTGAGAGTGAGAGGAGCAGTGATGAAGAGCAAAACCCTGGAGACGGGCAGATGGGCAGAGGAGGGGGGCCTGCAGGGCACACACAGGAAGTGGTCAGAGCCGTATGCAGAGAGCTGGGGAGGGTGGCTGTCATGTCAGCCAACATCCAGTCAAGGACTGCTTGTTACCGTGTGCAGTGGAGAAGCCTCAGGAGCTAAGAGCCACACTGCAAAATGCCCACTGGAGTGGGCACTGGGCAGTCGCAGGTACTGGGCAGTCATGGGCCCTCTTTGTCAGGAACAGCTCTGGTGGGATTACGAAGGTAGAAACGATTGCAATTGAGGAATGAGGATGAGGCGAGAAAACAGTGTGAGTGTTGACTCGTCTGTGGAGGAGAAACTATACAGTAGAGCACAAAGAAGCGCTGGCATGTGTAGCTGTGCAAATGCTGAGAAGAAAGGCAGAGGTGAAGGAGGAGGATAGGAGAACACCATGGAGAGAGCCTGGGTCCAGGCGAGGCAGGAGCGACCGAGCGTCAGGGGCCCAGACAGAGTGGGAGCAGGGCCACTCATCCTTCTGTGGTTGGGTTGTTTTTTGTTTGTTTTTGATATGAAAACAAACAAAGAGTTTACTGAACTTGGTGCAGAAACTTATTTTTAAAGACTATAACAAATAGTTACTAAAATTGACTTGGTGTTGTGTACTATTAAGCTCAAATGAGGTTTACTTTAATTCCCTTGCTACTTTAATATTGCGGCCATGGGTCAGTACATGGGAATTGAGTCATAAAACTTTCAAGATATATTTCTTCTGAGATCATCAAAATCATAATTACATCTAGGTAAGAAACTATAAGGATGCAAATTAGGATTCTTCAGCAGCTCTTAATTCTCTAAGTAGGCAGGACATTCATGTGACTCACCAACCATCATGTCCTCCCCTGGTTGACACAAGTTGTACGCCACTGCACATTGCACTCACTGTGCCCACGGATCATTGCAAGTCAGTATGTAGAGACTCCCATGTACACATACATGCTAAAGGACACATACGCCCAGAGACCGTGTGTGCGTGCGCAGTATTCAATTGTGTTATTGCCATCATTTAACCAGCCTACTTTGGACATTTGGATTGTTGCCAGTATTTTGCTGTCACAAATAACGCTGCAGTAAATAACTTCTATATATCATTTCACATGTGTGACTGTATGTGTAAGATAAGTTCCCAGAGTTGGAATTGCTGGGTCAAAATAGGCAGAGGCTGTCAAATGCCTCCTGTCAAACTTGTAGCAATTTCTCATCCCACTAGTGATGAATGAAGGTGTGCCTCTCACTGCAGCCCTGCCCACTGGGTGTATTAGCATACTTGGGTTTTTACCAGTCCGATAAGTGAAAAATGATATCTTTGTAGTTTAATTTTAAATTAATTTACCTTTGTATACATGATATATTCACATAATTCCAAATTCAAAAAGTACAAAAGAGGATACAGTGAAGTCACCTCCATCACCATTCCTCTCCTTTCCCCGGCCCACTAGAACTCCTTGCAGTCAACCATTATTATCAGTTCTTCATGTAGCCTTTCAAAGATATTTTATTTCTGTGTAAGCAAATATATATGTGTATATTTTTCCTCTTTATTCAAAACGGTGGCATATATGCACAGTGTTCTGCACTTTGTTTTTTGACTTCATGTATTTTGGGGATCATAGAAACATAGACTTGTTTTTACATACTTGCTTGTTCCTCAGGTGAGCTGGACCCGGAAAGAATGGGCTCGGGCATCCAGTATGGAGATGCTGCCTTGAGACAGCTGCGGTCACCGCGTCGCGCCCAGGCCCCGAGTGCCCAGGAATGCGGTTGTTAGAAGCAGCAAGGTAGCACCAGGTAGGTGCCCACATTGTAGCATCTGCCGGCCCCTTGACCTTGTGCTCTGTTCACTGCCTGAGCTCCACAGTCTTAGTGGAGCCATTGACTGCTTTCTGCAGCTACTTTATGAACAGGAGAGGTGATTGCGTAATTAAAAGTTAGATATTCAACACATATATTCTTCTCAAGCTCACACAGAATACCCACCAAGAGAGACCACATTATAGGCTGTAAAACACACCTAAACAAATTTAGAAGAACGCAAATCATATGATGTCTGCTCTCAGACCACAATGGAATTAAACTAGAAATCCATAACAGAAAGGTGGCTGGCAAGTCCCTGAACACTTGAACATTATACAACCACTTTAAATAACTCTTGGGTCAAAAAGAAATCTTGAGAAAAATTTTAAAATATTTTGAACCAAATGAAAATCAAAATACAACATATCAAAATTTGGGGGTGGGGGGAAATGCAGTGCTTAGAGGGAAATTTATAGTATCAAATGCATATATTAGAAGAGAAGAAAGATCTAGATACAGTCACCTAACTCTACACCATAGAAAACTAGAAACAAAGGAACAAATTAAATTTCAAGTAAGCAGAAGAAATGATAAGAATTAGAGCAGAAATTAATGAAATTAAAACTAAGAAGTCAGTAAAGAACAATCAACAAAACCAAAGCTGGTTCTTTGAAAACGACCAATAAAATCAATAAGCCTGTAGCCAGGCTAATTAAGAAAAAAAAAAGATGCAAGTTACGAATATCAGAAGTGAAAGAGGGAACATCACTACAGCTCCCATGCACAGGGGATAATAAAGGGATAACAAAGGAACACCATGGACAAGTCTAAGCCCACAAATTTGATCACCGAGATGAAATAGATCAATTCCTTGAAAGACGCAATTTGTCAAAACTCACACAAAAAGAAATAGAGAGTTTGAATAGGCCTATATCTATTAAAGAAATTGAACCAATAACTAATAACCATTCAAAACAGAAAGCACCAGGCCCAGATGGGTTCACTGGTGAATTCTACCAAACATTTAAGGAAGAAATGATACCAATTTTCTACAGTCTCTTTTCACAGGACAAAAGCAGATGGAATACTTCTAATTCATTCTATGAAGCCCATGTTATCCTAATTACAAAGTCAGAAAAAGACATTACAAGAAAAGAAAATGATAGACCAATATCTCTCATGAGAGATAAACATAGATGCACAAATCCTCAAAAACATATTAGCAAATCAAATCCAACAATGTATGCAAAGAATTATATACCACTTCTAAGGGAGATTTATCCCAGGTATGCAAGGCTGGTTCAACATTCGAAAATTATCAAGCTACAGGAAAAAAAGTCACATGATCATATCAAGAGATGCAGAAAAATCATTTGACAAAGCCTTAACACCTATTCATGATGAAAATTCTCAGTAAACTAGGAATAGAGGGGAATTTCCTCAACTTGATAAATACTATCTACAAAAAAACCTGTTAACATCATTCTTAATCGTGAGAAACTTGAAGTTTTCACACTAATATCAGGTTCAAGGCTCTACTCCTTTTCAATATCACACTGGAGGTTCTAGCTGATGCAATAAGACAACAAAAGGAAATAAAAGGTATACAGCCTGGGAAGGAAGAAATTAACTGTCCTTGTTTGTAGATGACATTATTATGAGGTCTGCTAATTAAGTTCCTAAACTTATTGCACCGATGTTGCTAACTTTTTTTGATATCAGAGCAGTTATTCATTATAAATTTGTACCAACTGGGCAAACAGTTAACCAAGTTTACTATTTGGAAGTGCTGACAGGCTGCATGAAAAAGTTAGACCACCTGAACTTTTC